GACCAGAATCCAACCCGGGATCCTTCAGTCCACAGGCTGATGCTCTATCCACTGAGCCAAACAGGCTAAGGCTAATCCTCCTTTATACGGCAGCCCTCAGAGCCTTCAAGGCACACTCAACTTCCCCTCCCTTCCTCCTCGATCTTTCTCTCCTCCTCCTCCTGCTCGCTCTTTCTCTCCTGCTTGCTCTTTCTCTCCTCCTCTGTAGACATTTATTGAGCTTCTATTGTGTGCGAGGTCCTGGGAAAACAATAGCAAGCAGCAGTAGTACCCCTGGATCTCACAGTGCTTACAGTGCAGTGAGAGAGACACTGCAGACAGAACGATGCGGAGGAAACTGTGAGCTGTCTGGTAGGTAAGTGTCCTCGTGAGGTCAGGGTAAGGTGGCAGGCAGAGCAAATCCAAGTGAGACCCACCCCAAGAGAGGCCGGAAAAGGCTTCCCCGAGGAAGCGGCGCATTCGCTGGCATGAAGACATAGCTAGTTGGGGAGGAGCAGGAAACTCAGCAGTGGGGGACACACAGAGGCCACGGCTAGCGTGTGGGACTCCCAGGTGCCTAAACATCCTTGTGGCAGTTCCTCATCTAAGGGGGTTTCTGGACCCCTCCCCATCCTATCAGTCTCTGTCCTTGTCCCCTTCAGAGGGAGACAGACCCCCCAGGTCTGGACCCAATGCTCCTGGAAGGTCTGGCCAGCTCCAAGCCTGGGGGCCACCCTCTCTCTGCCCAAATCTGCACGTTTGTTGCTCTATGAGGGACAAGTCCCTTTCCAGGAACGTGCAACCGGAGCTTACATGAGACCTCCCCACCTGTGTCTGAACCGATGAGGGTCATCTCCCTCGTGTGGCCTGTTCACACCAGCCCTGCAGGGTCTGTCCCGAGTCTGGATTCTGCTGTTGGCTGCAACGCCCAAGGCTATACTCCCTGTGCAAGGAGCCCAGCCACCCCAACGTGTCCTGTCTGCTTATCCTGGACAAGGACAAGGGGCCAGCAGGCCAGGCCTCATGGCATATGGGGGGGGGGGGGGGGGGGGGGCAAGGGGCTGGAGATCCTGGGAGGCAGCTATAGAGGGGCGCCTGCCCTGGGGCTCTAGAAAGAGGTGCCTAAGGTCTGAGGCCCGAGCTACACTGGGCTCATGCTGCACTGTGGTCTCCGACCCCTGTCCTGTGCCTCTTCCAGCCCCTGTCAGCACAGATAGCGAGGTGGGGCCAGCTGCATGTGTCATGTGTGTTTGTACATGTGTGGTCTGCACATGCCTGTGTGTGTGGAGCGTGTGTGCTATGTGGATTGTCCCAGCAGGCCTTGCTGTTGGCTGGTGCCCACATTTTGCCCTGAGTAACCTCTTCACTCAGGAGTGGCAAAGTCACCAGACCCTGCAGGAGGCCCCAGCAGACCTGCCTTGCCTACCAGCCACACTAGGTGGCCCCGTCTGTCCTCCTGCCCTCCTATCTGCCTGGAGGGTCCTCACACACCATCCCAGCCCCAGCAGGGAGTGGACCAGGCAGCCAGGCAGGACACCTCCTCAGCCCTTGACTTCTGCCCACAGGTCTCCCGGCTACTGGTGCCACCACCCCACCAGGCGCCCCCCCTCCCCATCCCTTTCCGTCACCCCTCCTCATCCTTTCAGATGAGGCCCTCCCTGACCCTCCCCTGTGCTCTCAGACTGTAGGATCCAAGAGGGCAGGGCCCTCGGGGGATTTATTGGTGTTTCAGAGGCTAAAATTCAATACGTCTTATTAAGTGAATGAAACAATAACCTCTGTGGGCGCCACACTTCTTATCTGTGGAATGAAAATAATACTCTGTGACAACCGGATGCTGAGAGGGCCTTGGGGGAGGATGCAAGAGCATTTCCTATCGCTGTGCTGGACATACAACAGATGCTCCAGAAACATTCTCGCTTCCCTGCCCTTGCATGTGGACGAATACATGCTCCTCTCTGTTTAAAAATACTGTACATTTTTGGAGTCCTTTGGCCCCCAAGCAGGACTGGCTTCTTGTAGCCCAGGTCTCCGCCCAAATGCTACCTCCTCACAGAGACATTTTTTGACAACCCCATCTAAGATAGCCTGCCCACCCCAACACCCTCCACCTGAGAGCTGTCTTATCACAGACTGAGCTTTATTCTTTCTTCCTTGATCATCTGTCTTTCCCTCCAGAAAGCCAACGCCATGAGGCAGGGACCGAGGCTGACTCCATCTCTGGGGCCCATGTCCAGAGCCGGGCCTGGCACATAGCCACCACCCAGGAGTTCCCAGGGCCACGGCTGTGACGTCTCTAGGGGACAAATTCCAGAGTGTGTGTGTGTTTGGGCAGAGGATGGTGAGGTAGCTCCCCCCCTGCCCCCCCGCCCCCATTGTGCATCTCAGGGAGGTGACAACCTGGGAGACTCCTGCGCTCCCACCCGTGTTCCCCGAGGGAATTGGGAACAATGGGCTCTGCGGGGGCAGCACCTTTTTGCCTGGTGACCCCTGCCCAGTCTCAGCAGGGTTACCCAGTGCTGACAGGACTCCCTCTACCAGTTCAAGCCCCCCCACCCTGTTACCCCTCAGCCCTGCCCTGCGCCCTAGACCTGGGTGGCCCACAATCATACTCCATTCTCAGAGCTGTCAGCACCCCCAGTTCTAGAGCTCCCAGTGCTGGCAGGGCCCCAGAATGTCTGCACAGGGAAGGATTTCAGGGTTCTGAGGTTTGTGAAGTATGTACTGCAGGGTGCCCTGGAGCTGCGCTGTGTGTACACGTGTGTGAGCATACATGTGTGAGTGTGTCCAGTGAACTAAATACGGGGGCTCTGGGCAGCCCCTCATATTTGGAGCATAGAACCCCAAAGTTTTTCTGTTACCAGTGGAGCTTCCACATAAGTTACTATGTAAACAAAAGGAGCCATTCGTTTTTTAAAAGGTTTGAAAACCATGAAAACTAGACAAAACTCATTTTGCTAGTACATATGGGGAAACTGAGGTTCAGGGGGGCAAACGACTTCTCAAAGTCACAGCGAGGTCAGCAGCAGAGCTGGTACCAGCCCAGGCCACCTGGCTCACAGGCGGATGTTTTTGCCAAGCCGCGGCTGAAATGTCCCTCTCAGGAGGTGGCAGGTGGGGGCGGGGTGCCAGGATGGCCCCATCAGAGCAGCAGGTTAAGGTCACAGCCTCCCGCCCTGTTCCCCTGTGAAGTGCCGGAGAGAATGCTGCATTGGGAAGGTCGCTCAGCTCTTAACTGGAGGCTTGAGGTTTGGGAGTGGGAAGGGCAGGATGAGAGAGGAAGAGGGGGGCACTCATACCCCTGCCCCAACTACAGCAGCAAATGCCCTGCAGCCAGTCTGACCGCTTTTACATTCCTCCCTGGCCACCCTGGCGGTTCTCACCGGAAGCAGGGCTCCACAGGCACTCCCCCCCCCCTGCAGCCCCTGTCCCACCGGGAGCAGAGGGAGCTGGTGTCCAGGCATGGACAGGGCTGGGGGACTCTGAGGTGGTGACTTCTGGGGTAGAAAGGCTGTGAAGAAGGGGGTTGGTACTTCTGTATCAGGGGTCCTGTGGACATCCCACCCCAGACAAAAATGACACAGTAGGGGGCTCTGTGGCACTATCTGTGCTTCCCAGAGTGTCCAGTGGGGCACCTGGGAAAATGCTACTGAATGAATGGATATGCCCATCTCCTCCCAACCCCTCCATAGTCACCACCCCTCCTCCCCACAGCCCTGTCCTTTAGGGACTGCAGGACTGAGTTATTCTTAGGAGCGTTCATTCATCAAAGCGTGACAAACAGTGTCCTGGGAGGAATGCCTGGGCACCAAGAGGAGCCAGAGAAGTGGGGTGGGGAGAATCCTGTGCCTCCGGGGAGCCCCAGCCTGAGAGGGAGACACAGTCCTGCCCCCAAAGCTCCCTGAGATGGAGGCTACTCCCCCCACCCCCCACTTCCCCAGCCCTCGGTGAGATCTCAGTCTGAAGGGAGAATTCCAGTATCTTGCCCTCAAGGAACCTCTGGTCTGAGGACAGAAGACAAGCTGTCGCCTTGCTGGAGAAGACGTGGTGCATACCCCAGGGACAGAGGGAAACTCAAGATGACAAAGAGGGTACCAGGGGGGCATCCAGAAGCACGTGCAGCCGCCACTGCCCCTGAAGAGAGGCTCCCGGGAATACTCACAGCGGCATCGTTTACTGAGAACATGCACCCATGCCAAAGGGTGGCAGTGTGCAGTCCGAGGCCCCAGCCACGAGGAAAAGGGCACAAGCACAGGCCGAGCGGGCTGTCCTAAACCAGGGGTTTTAAACCCCAACGCCTTTGGGGACTAGCCTGGCCTCTGACCTTTCCAACAAGGAGGCAGCCGGAAAGCCTGCACTGTCTGTAGTTCTCTCACCTTCAATAGAAAACCGCACATTCACTGCAGGCCAAACCTCACTGAAGATTAAACGTGGCCAAGGCCACGAGTGTGCAACCCCCTGGACATGAGGAAGGAGTTTCTGAGAAAGGAGAGGGCTGAGCCTGGTTTGGGTAAAGAAGCTGACAGCGAAGTTGCTCCCCCTGAGCCCCCGCCACTGTCTTCAGGGCCCCTAGGAGCTCCCTGTGAGCAACAGGCCACAGCTGGTCGGCTGCCCAGGGCTTCAGGTCTCTGAGGGGGGATATCACTTTCCTTTACAGGAAGGTAATTCCCCTGCCAGGGGAAGGAGCCTTTGGGACAGTCATAAAACCACCTCGAAGTGAGCTGACCCGGAAGTTCTGGCTGGGTGGGCTTCCCTCGAGGCTGTGCTTTTCTGTGCCTCCTGTGCAAAATGGAGACACTGTTGCCCTGGTGCCCTCCCCACCCATCCCCCTGACAGTTAACTTTCCAATAGGCCTCAGTGTTCATGTCAACGAAATGGGTCCGTGCCCCCTTCCCACTCTCCCAGATCCTTCTAGCAGAATTCCCAACAACTGTAGGCTTATGGGAGGGGAGAGGGCGGCTGCCACACCTTTAGGCCCCGGGCCTGTCTCCCTGAATCGCGCATCTTCCCAATCACCTGCCCTAGTGGGGACCAGGGGGCAGTCCCGGAGGCCGGCAGGAGGCGGCGGCTGGTGAAACCGCTGCGAGGGCTCCTGGGCCCGGGGACAGTTCTGGGACCAGGGAGGGGCGGCCTAATTGCCGCGCGTTGGCCTGGGATGAGAGTGGCGGTGGGTAATTAGAGCGCATTAGCCGTGCCCCTGCGATCCTGTAATTTCTCCCCGCGCTGTGCTCGGGGTGTGTGGAAGGAGGTGAAGCGATGCGGCTCGGCTCTGAGTCAGACTCTGGAAGGCCGGGTGGGGACGGAGGGGGCGGCAGAGGCTGCGAGGAAGGGGTTCCTGTCGCAGGAGGCGCCAGCGCCTTCCCGTGGCGTGGAGCCACCTGTCCCGGGACTCCCCGCGAAACCCCCACTTCC